ACTTTTTGATTCCGGAATATAACATCGCACCAATGTGTGGCAACATCGGCATTAATTGACAAAAGTTCGCCGCGCGAGTCGCGAAGTGAGTTTTTGCCACGAACGCACCCAATACAATCCAATATGTCCAAAAATCATGTTTTTCGTGCTTTCTGAACTTATTGATTCCGGAATATAAGATCGCACCCATGTGTGGCAATGTCGGCATTAATTGACAAAAGTTCGCTGCGCGAGTCGCGAAGTCAGCTTTTTGCACGAACGCACCCAATACACTCCAATATGTCCAAAAATCGTATTTTGGTGCTTTTTGAACTTTTTCATCCCGGTTAAAAACAACGCTCCCACGTGTGGCAATATCGACATTAATTGACAAAAGTTCGCCGCACGAGTCGCGAAGTGAGTTTTTGCCACGAACGTACCCAATACACTCCAATATGTCAAAAAATCATATTTTCGTGCTTTTTAAACTTTTTGATTCCGATATATAACTTCGCACCCACGTGTGGCAACATCGGTATTAATTGACAACAGTTCGCCGCGCGAGTCGCGAAGTGAGTTTTTGCCACGAACGCACCCAATAAACTTCAATATGTCCAAAAACCAAGCTTTGGTGCTTTTTGTACTTTTTTATTCCGGTACATAACATCGCTCCATGTGTGGCAATATCGGCATTAATTGACAAAAGTTCGCCGCGCGAGTCGCGAAGTGAGTTTTTGCCACGTACGCATGCAATACACTCCAATATGTCCAAAAATCATGTTTTGGTTCTTTTTGAACTTTTTGATTCCAGTATATAACATCGCACCCACGTGTGTCAATATCGGTATTATTTGACAAAAGTTTGCCGCGCGAGTTGCGAAGTGAGTTTTTGCCACGAACGCACCCAATACACTCCAATATGTCCAAAAATCATGTTTTGGTGCTTTTTGAACTTTTTGATTCCGGTATATAACAGTTGGCCACCGATTTGTGCGCACCCTTAATCGCTAGTCGGAGCGATGTCCGTAAGGTGCTTGCGCTCCCATCGGCAGTCTTGCTAGCAGCGATAGCGATGGGTTCGGTGTCTGCACGCGACGAATGGTTCACATCGACGGTTGTTTTCATTGCCCAATGGTTCTTCGTTCGGGCTAAGCCCAAACCGTACTAAGCATCGTATCAATCTCATCCAGCACTGTTGTACTCTTTTATTTCGAAGTACGTAAGACCCTACCTTCAAATCATGGTGCCCCCAATTACACATGAGTATAATTTCTTTATAATTTAGTGAAGCCACAAATTTACTGCTAGCTTGTGTTCAATGTTTCACACATCTCTGCTAACCAACACCCCTTTGGTTGTTCCATCCCTTGCATCACGCTTGTGTCATCGTGGCATCATCCCGCGTTATCGTGGCATCCTTCCATGCAAGGAAGTCTGATTTCAATCCATGCCACCCACGAAAGGTCTAGCAAGTGATCAATCACTGCGCATGACCCACGCACAAAAATAGAACGACCCACCATGGTTTGCTCCCGAGTCCTGACCATCTATGGTATCCTTGTGCTTCCTCTCCCGCCGCTAACTCCTCTCCGTCCTCCTCTATAAGCATGCGCTCATCCCCATCCTAACCCCACACGTCGCCACCGCCACCGCTGTTTTCCGCCGCTAGTCCGCCACTACTGCCTAACAAGGAAAAATAAACAAGAATAAACAAGACACCTAACAAGTAAAAATAAACAAGAAGATAAAGAGGAAGAGCGCGAGATGTTGAGGAAGACGAACTTTGGCCACGGAGGGCGCTCAGAGGAGCACATGATAGCTCTGCTGCTAGCGGATGAGGTGGCCTGGAGCGGCATGAGGGCTCGAGGGCAAGGCTTGGGGATTGTGCCAAGGCGCGATAGTCCATGTTGCCGTGAGCTCTCGCATAGGAGATATCAGCCTTCAATCTGAGATAGGCCCGCTAGCTTCTTAGGTGTGACGTGATGCAGGCTCACACAACATCTAAATTACTACTTAGCTTTGGAATGCATTTGATGAGGAACTAGATATTGATATTTCGATAATTATTGGATATGCCAATTGTGGAGGCTCTATATTGATGATCCAAAGACTTTGATCAGATCAATCGAACCTCTCGTAATCACTACACCACTCTACCGTTGGTTATCACCCAAACCGAAACAAGGTTGGCCTCGCCAATAAGACTATCTCCTACAAGAAAATTGAGAACACAAGCAAGAGATATTGTGAGTATAAGACGAATAGCACAAATTGGGGTTACACAAATCAAACTAGCGAAGAAACTACAATGATAAAAATAATCTAAGCAAAATCCAACTCTAAACAATGACGGTTACTAAATAAAATATGATCCTAGGGTTAGTACTAGGGTGCACACCCCCCTTGGGTTTAGCCCGCGACACAATTATAAGGCCCAAGGCCCAAATCAGATTCGGACTGGATAAGATATGTGACTTGCTTTGAAGATTCCTGACTATTCAGGAGGGACTAGAACCATCTAAAAGTAAACTCTATAAGATTTCCAACAAGTACTCATGGGCCCCGAGAGTCCTCCTAGATTAGCGACTAGGTCCATTTGAAGTTGATGCTGTCAGGAGGCTCGAATCAGAATCCAAAACTTGTAGAACTTCATCTCTTGCCTTCTATGGACCAAAAGTGACATAGTGATGTAGTAGTAGACTTGGGGAAGATCTTGGTGTGCTCCCCAATCAATTTCTTTGATCATCCAAGCACTTCGTGAGCCCGCTCTCCTTTTCATCACGTATTTTTGCAAACAAGAAGATATACATATTTCAAACATATAATAAGTAAACCTAATATATAACATATGCACCTTTAGCTAGGTTATGTCTAACATAAGCATGGTTATATCCGAGCCAGTGATCTCCTCATCACCATGAACCAACGATGATGGCCACTTTGTCGTGAGCTTGGCTTGGAGACACGATGGCGGTGTTTCAACGGTTGCTTCATCTATGTATGTCGGGTGCGCTGCATCTACGTCACATGGAACATGAAACTTAGGTGTGTTTCTCGTTTTGTGAGCTTCATCCTGGATCGAGGAATGAAGACTATGTGAAACCTCATCCCGAAGGTTATCCTAAAGGTTTGTAGAGTGGTCTGATAGAGAAACGCAGAACTATGGAGCAAATGATGGAAGGACAATCCAAAATTTTCAAACAAAATATATAATTTGATCAGCTTTCACTAAATTTGTACTAATATGGATGGGATGAATGCCGTTGATGCTCCCTCACCGCTCGCCAACGTTGTGCCGTGCATGTACGAGCATCACCACCTTCATGCAGTGGAGAATGAACCAGCATTGCCCTCGTCGCGCCTTGGGACGACCATAGAGGACGTTCCAAACAACTTATGAACACGTTCCATGTTTTTGAAAGAGATATACCCCTATTGTTTCATGTTTTTACAAGATGACATCCCACATTTCTCGTTACAATTCCATGATCCATCGGTCTGGGAACTTTTGTGACTTAACGCTGCATCCTGCATGCTCTATATGCACTGTTCTTCGTGCGTGTGTACACGCTTTGAGGAGAGAGCAGAGCAATATATACTTGAGCTGCATCTTCGATCTGGATGTAGAGAAGATTCAGGTCTCCAGGAGCAGGTTTCTTGTTATTGCTAGTTAATTCGAGTTCTTTGGGCTGATTGTTTGCCATATTTATTTTGGACTGATTGTTCGCCAGATTTGTTTTTCTATTACTTGATGACATGGCTTTGGATTATTGGTGCTCATGATATATTTTGTTCTTAATTGCATATTTCTTCATTTTGAGACGACACAGTTTAGAAGCTACGCATGATTGATACTTGTGGTAGAGTATAAATTCGTTAATTGCAAATTAAACTACCCAACATAAAATGACAAATGACCCATCATCAAGAGTATAGTTAATCATAATCATTGATTTCTTAAAAGGGATCAGATCATCAAAATTAAACCCTTATATTATCTAATTGTAGTTTTACTTTCTCCTATTTCCACGCACGTATGGACAAATTTATTACTAGCATAATAAAAATAAAACTAAAAATAAATTACACCTTTTGCCCCCAAGTTTTCACATCAGACCATCTTTTAGCTAACGCTTTTATTTTAAACTAAGTAATTTTACCTTCATTACATTTAAAACATTCCCCAACTCTCTTCTCAAGCACACCAATAGCTATGTATACCAGCTCCTAGGCAACTATATATAAACCACACCTTGAACGTCGAGCTGAACGTTATCAAGTTGTCCAAAGTGCCACAAACATAAGATTATTAGTCTAAAGTGAAAAGATAGCATAAAAGAATAGTAACTTGTTACTTTCTCTGTTTCACAGTTACTTTCCCTGTTTCACATTATAAGATGCTTTAGTTTTTGAATAGATTTATGCGCGTATCCATGTATGTGCTCATATATGTGTCCAAGTTCATATGGATCTTACTGAATGAATCTATAGATGAGGGATAGAGGGACCAAAACGTTTTATAATGTGGAAAAGATGGAGTATCTTGAGAAGTCATTCCGTTGTTCCGCAACAACCATAGCAGACATAATTTTCAAACAAAACCATTGCAAGCATTACGCCCTTGCTTGACAATGCCACGGGCTATAATTCAAAGTTAATTTTGAATTTCATAATTTCATTGTAGGAATGATTTTAGGGTTTTCTCCATGACTTCCATTTCCTGTCTCTTTTCATGGTTGCTAATAAGATAAGAAAAGACCTATCTTAAAATCAAACTTTAAAATTCAAAATCGCTTTGACTATAATCTGTAGCAGAAACAAGCAGGGCAGAATCTGAGGGTCACTGTAGTTAACCAAACACCATCATAGGAAATTTTCTTGCATGGATTCGATCCTCCAAAATGCCATTGCAAGGATCATGCATTCATGCTGTTGTCAATTAAATTTCGAGGATGCTGTTGTCAATTCATGCCTCTGAATCCTTGTCCTTACCAGCACTTAACCTTGTGGTCTTGTGGGCATTCCTCAAGAGATCCAAAATCTTTCTATTTAGAGATTTAGACCATATAAACACAAGTAGGCAATGGAAGAAGCAAACATGCCATTAGGCTCAATAATTTACACAAACGATTCCAAAACTTACAACATCCCTGTATTGCTGAAGGATACCAGCGTTCTTTTCTATTACCTTCAGGTTCGCTTGAAATGTTCTCGTATAAATCTCTCTGCATGTGATGGATACTTTTCTCGAATGTATGCACGGAGGCACTTTTGGTATGAAAAATCAATCCAAACACCATCCGTGCGAACAACAAAAAGGCATCTTGACTTTCTGAACTGTGGGTGCTTATCAACCTTCAAAGTCAATCCATATTAAAAAGATAAGCCATACAATCATACAATCTGTCAAGTAAAATGCAAAGTACTCTGAAACATACCATATATTCTAAAATAGTGTTACGTGCAGTACCAACTAATTTTTTTTAGACTAGATGTACAAGTAAAAATGATTCTTAATACAGTACCCAGAGAGCAACAAAACTCAGACATGAGACATGGAGATGCTAAAAATTGTACTGGTTTTGAATCATAAATACTTCCACTGAATCTTAAGCATGTGTTCTCCTAATTTGTTACTCACAGTCATGATAATGTACCTTTCATCATGGATATCAAGTTCTCTGAATAAGTCTACTTACCCTCCTATTCTATGGAATCTGCTAAATAATCCCTGAGGTGGCTACTTAACCTCCTAATATATGGAACCAGCTAAATAATCCCTGAGGTGGTTTAGGGCATGTGGCTTACTCATGTAGATAAATTGCTCGGGTGGAATGCCATTTACCTAAACTATTTCTTTATTATTCTTTTGTATTAATCTCCCTTCTCTTCTCTGTTTATGTTCTTCCCTTCTATCACTCCACAGACATATGGCCTTCTAGTGGAATTATTTTAACTTTATTTGGAGACCCAACATCACATCAGCTGCCATGTGGCGAAAACCACCATTAAACAATCTCAGAGGGGTTATTTAGAAAATTTTGGATAATTAAGGGGGTTATTTAGATGGATTCATAGTTCAGGGGACTAAGTAGACCAACGCTTATAGCTCAGGGGGGTTTTGGGGGGGGGGGGGGGGTAGATTAGATGCACTCCTACTTTTTAACTCTTAGTGTACATGGTGTTCGTATACAGATTACAGAGTCAACTAAATGTAAAGAGAAAGAAGTGAGATGAGGCAACAGAATTGCTATCAATTACCATTAAGCACTGAATATTTATTTTATTTCTAACAACATACAGTTCCTGAATATAATTTAGCAGGTCATAATAGTGACTCACCATTATAGCATCAAGTCCACAACCAATCTTATCATCCACACGTGGATGGTAAGCAAGAAGCTTCTCGACGATAATATTTTCATCCTTTGGGCTGAGACATTCACCATCTCCATACCTGCTCAGAAACAACTTTGTTTTAAAACACGAAGTAAAACAGTTCGTTAGTTTCACTGTAGAAAGCCATGCTAATTTACAGTTTTTTTGATAGGTCAAAGTGAAAAAGAGGCACTTGGGATGCTCGAGGAATTAGGAAACAACATGTTTGGCATTACATGGTCCACTGGAGAAAATAAATAATCGTTACAGCAAACTTTGGAGTAGACAGTAATGGCCCAACCTAGGTAATAGTACCTCATTCTTGAACTTGCATAATTGGAGCATTCAGTAGGATGGCAGGACTTCACAGGAAACCAAATTACTCAACCAACGAAGGTATAGAAGTCAGAAGGAGAAAGTGGTACATCAAGATACACAGTTGTCAGATTTTGGAAGAACGAACTGCATGTCACGGTGACTAAGGAAACACGTTGAAGTTTAAAAAGCCTGGTCAGAATGAGGCATTAAACCATTGAGCACAGTGAAGAATGATCTTCAGTGAAGATCATAGTGAATAAGACAAAAAGCGTGCAATCCAACTTTTCTAAAGACCACCAAATGCAGTGGAGACTGGAGAACATAATAGCACTGTGGTCAATTCATTTCTTGGAAAAAGAGTAATGATGGCAATCATGTTCCCCAGTCTATACATCTTGGAAAAATGTTCTTTTTGAGATGAAAGAAAGAAAGGGCAACCACATCTTGCATAAGAACTCTATGAGATTAAAATGGTGAGAGACGTAGCTGATAGCACTTAAAGTCTTTGAAGCACTTGAATTAAGGACGGAAATTGATCCGAATCATGTATGCATATTATTTTTTACAAAGAGCTGACCCGTCTACAGTAGAGTGACCCACCTCTGCAACACACATGTTGCGCTTTTCTTATACTATAGGGTGATTGACCGAACGTTGCAATGAATGTCAATAAATACACTATATGATCTAAAATAAGAATAACAATTATCCACATATCTTAAAATTGCTTACATGACCACATGAGATCAATTAACCACTTACACTGGCGTATGCACAAGTGTAAAAAAATCATTTTAACAAATATCGCAAACAACAGAAAATATATGCATGCATTATGGTCAATAGGGGCATCCCCCTCATCTTTTGTCATTGCACTATGATGGAATTTCATTTTTGAGGCTAGTTTGCTCGTGCTTTATTTTTGTTAGCAATGTCAAAGCGATAATGAGGAAATTTGACAACATTTGCGAGTTGGACTTACACAGGGACTAATTTACTGTTTGATTCCACTAGAGGTAGATACTACGGGCTAGGAACAAATTAAGAGGGAAATACCACATGGTGAGATGGGTTGACATGGCTTTCCCTAAAGACTTTGGGGGATTAGGCTTTACAGAAACAAGAGCTATGAATACTGCTTTGATTGCAAAATGTATTTTTAAACTGAAATCAAATGATCAGAGTTTGTGTACCACCATGTTGAGGAGAAAATATTTGCAGGAAGGAGATATGTTTCAGTGTAGAGATGAAGGGGGGATCACAATTCTGGAAAGGGGTGCTAAGCACAAGAAAATGGTTGAGCTTGGGGACAGAATGGCAGGTGGGTGATGGAAAACACATCTATTTCTGGAAGGATGTGTGGTATTATCCATGCCCTCTTAAGAGTTATTTTCCATACCCATATGATGTAACCAACAATCTATCCTGGTAGCTGAAATAGGACAGGAGGGAGTATGCCTCACCTTTAGGAGAACTTTTGGCCCAAGAGAGTTGACAGAATGGCAAGAGCTGAAACAATGTGTTGAAAGTATAGAGGTGGGAATTACCCCCTGATATTCTAAAATGGGGTCTCAAAGAAAATAAGTCTTTTTCTACCAAATCCATGTATAGAGCTTTGACCTTCAGGGGGGGTAACTGATACACAAATGCAACTCATTTGGAGTGCCCTTGCCCTATGAAGATTAAACACTTTGTTTGGTTGGCCATGAAAAACAGAATATCAATCATGGATAGACTCAATTTTCTAATTGCTTTGTAAATATTTCCCTTTTGTAAATAACCTTTATTATTATAATATATTAACACAATAGGAGCCTCTCCTGCTGTTTCTTGTCAAAAAAAACAGAATACAATCTGCTGATCAACTGGGAAAAGAGGCTGGGAAGGTTATATCCTTTGTCAACTTTGTGGGGAATTAGAAACTACAAACCACATAATCTTTAGCTGCCCTATGGCTAGTCTTGTTTGGTGTTTCTATACAGATGTACTGAATTGGGATCGTGTTCCTCTTAACTTTGATGACTTCTTTATCCTTGCTGACATTAGATCTGATTTCAAACATAGAGCTGTGAAAATTGCTTTGCTTGCTGCTATTTGCTGGACACTACGGACAACAAGAAACAACATGGTGTTCAGGGAAAAACTTATTTACTCACCCCTAATGTTACCTTTCCAAATTATTTCTTTCTTACTGCAGTGGAGTCCTTTACATCGGCTGGAGGAGAAGAGTGATCTGGAGAAACTAGTAAAGAGGTTGAAGGAGGGAGGAGGCGAGGAGCTGGCCTAAAGACAGAACAGAATAGGATCTTGCTAGTCCCCTGCAGTCTTTTGGCGTTTGGTTTTGTTTAGAATGATGCTGTAGTTTATGTTCTTGTCTGTTGCTACCTAAAAATATGATCGAGACGTGATCATCTTCCAGTTTTATTTGTACGAAGTACTTCATTTTGTAAAGCTGGCAACCCTAGCGAAGCGAACTCTGCCAGTGGTTGGCTTTCAATAGAAGCCGGGCCCCCTCTGACCTTTTCTCTAAAAAAGGGACTAATTTACAGCTTTCTTGCGAAGTACTAGGATGATTGGCAGTTTCCTCATGTTGCCAGCCATATACAACTAGTAAAGTCGTCGACAATTAGAGGCAGAGAAATGGCCAAATGCCCTGTCTCAGAATAGAGACGAGACGAGGAAGGAAGGGAAGGGGACAACGGCTACCTGTCGGAGTGGAGGATATCCTTGATGAGCTGCACGACGGGATCGATGTCGCGGACGATTTCCGCCTCGGCGGCCCTCCACGGCAGCGGGGGCACCGCTCCGGGGGCGTCGGGCAGCTTGGACGGCGGCGGCTGCGTGGGGGGAGGGGGCTCGTCGGCGGTGTGGGCGCCGGAGAGGAGGCTCCTGCGGCGGGACAGTGCGGGCGCGGGTGCGGCGGTGCACGGCGCGAGGGGGCGGGCCCGGAGGAAGAGCGGCCCCGCGGCGGTGGCGGCGCGGGCGAGTGCCGCTGCCAGGGCCATGCGGCGGGAGGGTGACTTGCTGGATGGGGGTGGGGTGGGGTGGGGTGAGGTGAGGTGCCGTGTGCGGTGTGCCCGAGTTCGGGACAGCGAGCGACTGACGAAGTGACGAGTGACTGGTGTGGTACTGTGGTGTGGTTAACGGGAATGATGGATTGATGGCTCATCGATCAGCTATCATCCCGTCTGCTTCCCTTGTTCCGTGCCATGTTATCCATTGGGGATTTTGAAACGACACTCTTGCGGTAACAGTTTTCGGGAGGCAAAGGTTTGCGATTGGCTGCGTTCGGCCAACCTGCCTCCCGACACGGAAACAAAGCACGTAATTATAATTATAGTGAGATAAATTAAGTATTAGTTTAAAAAATTAAAAAATAAATTAATATGATTTTCTAAAGCAACTTTTATATAGAAAAGTTTTTCAAAAGATATACCGTTTAGCAGTATGAAAAGCGCGCGCGCGAAAAACGAGAGAAGTGAGTTGGGAAAGAGAGAAAAAGAACACAGCCACACGCAACTGAGCGTGTTCTGTAAAAATAGCTCAATGTGACAGTTTCTTGAGCTACTAAACTATGATTTTCACATACAATTTATATATGTGGATTTTTTAAAGTGATGTTTTAAATGGTAAAACTAAACAATAGGCAACACACTATTTATTAAGCAACACATGCCCCTCCCTACTATTTTTTCGTTTTCTAGTTGCCCTCGCCCCTTCTCTACTCTTATATTTTTATAAGTAAAATTTGCTATAGAACATTCACAAAATACTACCTTTATAGTGTTTACACCCAAATTTGACACCTAGGTTCAAATTAAGGAAAATTGTCAAGATTTGGGAAAGTTACCGGTTCCCTCCACAGGGCCGGTCTGACCGTCGTTTGTTGGTCGGTTAGACCGTTGCTTGATGGCAGACCGACAGAGTCTGAGACCGACTCTGTTTTCGTCGGGTCTCGGGATTCCTTACTCGGGAGGCTTTGTTTCGGGTTTTCTTTGGTTTCTATCCCGAGTTAGACGTGGATGAAGACCTGTAGAAAGCAAAAGACCAACCCCTATACAGGAGACAAGGCCGGTTTAATTGAGCATAGAATCATGACGGAGGTAGGAGAAGACGGGCTAGACGAGGTCGACGACATGGCGTTGTGGGAGTAATGCACGACGATGAAAGCGACGCCACGAGGGTGGACATAGGGCGCTGGAGCGGTGCTGGCAGAGTTAGAGGGCGGAAGCGTGTGATCGAGAAAAGTTGATACCATGTTGAATGATACAGCACAATGCGATAATTGTGTTGATACACAACAGCTGTACAAACAGGCATCAACCTTCCATATCACACTCAACTGATTGATAGAAACATGATCGGGAGGTTTATGAAAGGGAGCCAATCACGGGTACACTGCCAAATAGTTTAACAGGTTGTACACTCCTGCTCCGACATTACCAATGCTGAAGCTCTGTCACGCCCAGAAATTTAGCCTAAATTTCCAGACTATTTTGTGTATTAAATCCCTGTCCAGGACCAGCCAGGGTACACAAAACGACAAGTAATAAACAGTTCCAAACGTAAATAAAGCGTAAAATACTTACAAAAGAGGCACTTAGTCCTCGCACCGAAACGAAAGCAGCAGCAGCGGCAAAAAGGCGATCCTAGCGGGGCTTCAGCTCCACTCCACAGGCAAAACTCAACTGGGGTCTGAGCCTTGGTCCTCTAACTCCATCTTCAGCTCAGAAGCACTACACTTCTGAAAAGGGGGAATAATAGCAAGGCTGAGTACAACCACCGTACTCAGCAAGCCACACCAACGATGCAGACGTGCAAGGGGATACAAGGATGGTTTGTGGCTATTTGCATAAAGGCGTTTGTAAAATATTTTATTGAGCAAAACAGTAAAACTGTTGAGTAATTAGAGTAACATTAAATCTCCACTGATCAACGCTACACCACGTTGAACAGGCCCAACCAACCCACCTGGACTACAGTGCATTGGGTCGATTTATTAAGATGGGACTAATCACGGTGAATCTGGTCGACCGCCCATAACCGTGGGCACGGCTATTCGAATAGTTTTACTCTGATCAGAGGTGTACAACTGTACCCACAAGACACAGCCCCACGACACGTTTCCGTGCGCCGACATGCCACCACGACATACCGGAAAGAGGCCGTGACAGGACCCTTCGCATAACCCCCTCTAACCAAGCACACCACACCTCAGGTTTCACCCCCACTCCTCGCAAGGCAGCGGGCAGTCCCCTCTCGTGCCTAGGTGAATCCGGAAGCCGCATAGGCCGTCGCAGGGCCCATCCAAACTCCATCACGCCCACCCTTGCCTGGATGCGTCGGCTAGAGGAAAGCTACGCTACAAGCCCAGCCGTTGCCCACGCTGGCTTGTGGTAAGTACGATAAGTTCTTCCAAGGCATCCCGCGAACCGGTCCTTAACTGCCATGGGTGCGACCAGCAAAACCATGCACCCACAGCCCACCATTCAGTCGCATTTTAGTTGGATAATTACGACCATGAAGCATGGCCAGATGTCTCGAGCACGCAGCTCACTCTGATACTAAAAGGTCTAATACTGTAATTATCCCATCAACTGAGCTAGTGGTAATTAAGCATGGCTAAGCATATAGTTCTAGCTAGGTCACATAAGTAACATGAGTGTGGAGATTATGGGTACCCCATACCCACACGGCATGGTTATCCGACTAGTTATAGGGGATAACTTATATATATGAAATATGTAACAGATTATGACTTGGGTATTACGTTTCCCTGTATATTATGAAACGGCCTAAAGTCCTGGTTTGATAAGATTGTAAAGTAGATTTAGGAAACCGATACCGTGTTGGTTAAGGTTTCTATCTTGTAATCCTGCCCCCCATCCTATATAAGGTGGGCAGGAGGCCCTCTAGGGGGCATAACACAACATGATCGTCAGATCAATACATACTCGGCGGATTCAAATCCCCAAACAGGAGTAGGGTATTACCTCTCATCGAGAGGGCCTGAACCTGTCTAAATCCTTTGTCTCCGCATCCATCCACTTTTAGGTCTCGTGCGCTACCCCGTTTTATTATTGCCGAATTCATGTTTCGACAGTTGGCGCGCCAGGTAGGGGTGCGTCGAGTTTCCTATCGACGAGTGCGATGGAATCAACTCCAGGAGTCGCCGGTATTATGTTCGCTTCTGTATCGTGAGATCCGCCGCCGTCGACACCACCCGCCGATCAAATCAATCTACAGAGAGATTCAATCTACTATGGCTGCCACCAGCTTCACTTCTGTCTTCCCCAGGATCTTCCTGGACTTCATCGCTGCCGCCGAAAATCCGACCAGCCCCAATTAGTCGGCTAAGAGATCACACGTGGCATAGCAATCAACAGCGAGATACAAGACTGGACAGCTATGGAGTTTTTTCTTTTCTCAAGATCAGCCGTGGAGATACATGCATGAATATGATTGAACAGCACACACCGGAGAGCCACACATGTTTTGATCGGTCTTATATCAATCTAACCGTACATGTTTCCTGCTTTATCGCTTTGGTTCTTGCCACATACAAGACCATGTCGATCTCGTTTGGTCGCCGCTGTATTCATCAGTTTCGTCAAAAAGGTTGCCGTACTGCCGCAGTCATCATCTGTGTGCTCCTACCCATAATCAACCAGGAAGTAATGATCTACACATGTGTGCTCCTGATCGTGCATGAATTGGGCCACCGCTGCGCACTCCAAAACCGGCCGTGGGACAACATACGTGCATCAAGATAAACTACTATCAGGTTTATCGTTTTAAATTTTCTTATGTGAAATAGATTAATTAACAGATCACTAATTATTATTTGATCTATTGTTTTTACGCACGTACCGCCGGCCGCCCTCGTCGCTGCCGATTGGATTACACGCCTCCACGGCTGGTGTGCGCCGTCGCCGTTGCTGATGGCGACATCCTCTTCACCGACCGGCCTGCCTCCGTCGCCGCCGATTGGTGCCTCCGCCTACACGGCTGGCCTATTATGCCGCCGCTGTTGGGCGTCTACGACTTCACCGCCGGCCTGCCTCCGTCGCCGCCGACTGGTGTTTCTGCCTACACGGCTGGCCTATTATGCCACCGCTGTTGGGCGTCTACGACTTCACCGCCGGCCTGCCTCCGTCGCCGCCGACTGGTGTTTCTGCCTACACGGCTGGCCTATTATGCCACCGCTGTTGGGCGTCTACGACTTCACCGCCGGCCTGCCTCCGTCGCCGCCGATTGGTGCCTCCACCTACACGGCTGGCCTATTATGCCGCCGCTGTTGGGCGTCTACGACTTCACCGCCGGCCTGCCTTCGCCGCCGCCGACTGGTGTTTCCGTCTGCACGGCTGGCCTATTATGCCGCCGCTGTTGGGCGTCTACGACTTCACCGCCGGCCTGCCTCCGTCGCCGCCGAGTGGTGCCTCCGCCTACACGGCTGGCCTATTATGCCGCCGCTGTTGGGCGTCTACGACTTCACCGCCGGCCTGCCTCCGTCGCCGCCGAGTGGTGCCTCCGCCTACACGGCTGGCCTATTATGCCGCCGCTGTTGGGCGTCTACGACTTCACCGCCGGCCTGCCTCCGTCGCCGCCGAGTGTTGCCTCCGCCTACACGGCTGGCCTATTATGCCGCCGTTGTTGGATGTCTACGTCCTCACCGTTGGCTCACCTTCGTTGCCGTCGACTGGTGCTTCCGCCTACACGGCTGGCCTATTATGCCGCCGCTGTTGGGCGTCTACGACTTCACCGCCGGCCCGCCTTCGTCGCCGCCGACTGGTGTCTTCATTGTTATTGATGGACGACTTTGTTCCCACATTGGCCACTTCTGCCATCACCAAGGGGAATATTACAAAGGATCCAGATCCAGATATGCATAAAAGGGATTCATGGCTTTAAGCTTATCTCTTACGCTCCAGGAATGGATCAGTCAGAACATCACCACCGGCTCGCATCGACCGCCGCCGACTGGTGTTTCCGACTGCACGGCTGGCCTTTATGCCGCCGTTGTTGGGCGTCTACGTCTTCACCGACCGGCTTGCCTTCGCCGCTGCCGACTGGTGTTTCCGCCTGCACGGCTGGCCTTTATGCC